CGTCAGCGGGTAGAGCTCTGTGTGTTGAACTGTTGATACTGCAAGCAGCTGCTATAGCTCTGTGTGTGCTCTTAATAACTTTATTAGAGTTGGTAAAAAAGAAATTTAGTATTTAAATCTCAGCTGAATTATGTCAGTCATAGACAGGAATTGTCGATGGTTCTTTAAACCTGCAGTATTGAAAATAAATGAAACATAACTGTTCTCCATACAAACAAAATAGCGAAGCTTTACTTCGACCATTTTTAAGTAGATTTCTTGATCTATTGATGACTCAGCAAGTAAATATTTTTTCAATCTTAAATTATTGTACAATTTAAATTAAATAATTATTTAAACGTGCAAATTTAGTTTGTATCTCTGCTGTCATGGCATACAATATGAACGTCATTAATTACTGTTAATTAAATATCTTAAAATATTTTCTTCATTATTAAATCTCTATTTTTACAGTAAATATTAATGAAAAAAGCTAAATATTCCTACAATTACCGAAAGGCAGTAAGTAAAACGCGACGTTCTTCTATCGCTGTGTCACGTTTGTCACTAAAGTTTGTGTCACGTTGTCTAAACTCTGAGTTGCTATAACGGCCCGGACATTATACGAAGCGGGACGAATGTGCTTAAACATGCACGAGAGTCGCATTTTTTCTAATGGAGATCATGAGGGTTTTTCTGTGTGGTATCATTGAAGGTTTCGGTTGCCTGTACTTCCCTGTCGACTGTGTGTGAAGAATTGCATGCAACTAAACCGAATGTTTGTGCAGAAAAGAATAATTTTTCATCGTAAGCTACGCCGAAAAGCCGTCGGACGTGTATAAATAATATATTTATAATAATGAATATTATTAATATATATTATTATAACAATGATAATAAAGAATATAATAATGATATTGAATGAAATAATGTTATTTCATAATAAAAATCATAATAAATGAAAATCCTATGTCATTATTGCTTAATGTTAGTAACAAATATGAATTTAGTACATAAGTCTACTTGCTATCCGAGATCGGAAAAATTCTATCCAAAGAAGAACATAAGACACTCAAATCGCAGACTCCGCGTGCTGGATATTAGACTTGGATGTGAATAAATTTAAGCAAAAAGATGGTATTTCGAATCTTGTCAACTGAAAAGCCGCGAAGTCTACTGAACTATTCTGTGCCAGGCGAAAGAAAGACTCGGTGTGATGGAATTATGTGCATAAATTTACTCGAAAACTTCTCTGGAGCACACCAAATCTTTCTGTGAAAATCTTCATTTGCGTATCTTTGAAAATTTGCAGTGCGATGTATATTTCTCGCTACTCATTCAGCTAAGTGTATTGGCGAAATAAAAAGGCAAATTTTAATAATACTGGTAAACTAACGGTAATCTGTAAGATATATTAGAACTTTGTACACATAATATGTTATCAATATGAGATACATCAGATTCGATTGTAATTGCTGGAAACGTTTACAAATTTACTTACAAGTTACATGAATCGCATGGGGGGGAAGAAGTCAGTTACATTAATTAAATATCTCAGGAATTACTATACATTTACTTGCCACTTATACAGCCTTAATGGAATTATCCTTCGGAGATTAAAAAGATTCATTATGAAGTTTAATGATGGCTTGATGGCTGGTTCAACACGTAATATATGTTACATTAATTTCATACCACAATGCAAGTGTGAGGGGTCCATCCACATTACTGTCATAGACTTTTTCTTCAATACCGTCACTTTGCTCAGTGCTGGGTATCCTGAATAAAATTGTCGACCCTATTCTCCCACACTGAGCAGGTGAGCATATAAGCGTAGGGCAATATTTGTGAATTTGTGTAGCTTAGGATAAAACTATGTATGTTGGCATTTATGCTTGATAAAATTGAATTAAGTGAAGACAGATCAATAAAATTGCATAGTTACTAATTTAGGCTTGTTTCTTGAGCAGGTCAGATCTTTAGGACTGAACCTTGTCCCACGAGTTCACATACTAGTTCCCATACTAATTTATATTCACTTATCCATTCATATCAACTTACCTGTTTATATTCACTTTCACCTGTACTTTAAGCCTGTAACGTTATGTGTAGTTCATAAATGCAACCTGCCTACGTGAATTTGATTTGCATACCCCCTAAATATAATTTCGAACCGACGTTCCCTGACAGCAAGTAATCTCGTCTTCATGAATTATAATTGCACTCTTAAATCATGAGATGATATTTTCTCCTTAACTTTCTTGATTTTCTTCAGCTCCAGTCTGCTCGGGCATTAGTGCTTGGAGCAGTTTAAGCGTGTGGCTTGTTTAAAGTTTGTTGGTGGACTCAACTGTGGTCAGGTCATTTACCAGCAACTCCAGAGTAAACTTATCCTTCAAAAAGGAATTCCAAGGAGAAAACCCATCCGAGTTTCTGACAGATTTGTCTCAATGTCTGTTGTGGTTGCTGCAGTAGTGGGCACTCAAGGATAAATTGCTTTACAGTCAAGTTTGTGTGGCAGTAAGCTCAGCTGGCTGCCTGTCCCCCAGTGAACCGGTGTAGGGAAGCTAGGTTTCTCCCAGGACGAGTCGAGTTAGTGATAGTTGGTGGGGTCACTTTAAGGATAGATAGAAAAATTAGCCTAGGGTACCTTTGTGATGAAGAAGTTTGGTTGTTAAATTTTCCCACTGCCACTGCCACTGTGAATGGTAGTGCGTTGAGATCAGCTGTTTCAGTTCTTAGACTGTTATGGTTAATTGTTGACAGTTCATGTGGTAATGAAAGGGCCTCTTGGGCTAGGGCTCTTCTATGCTCATGTGGGATGGAACCCATGCCAGGATAAACTTGTTTGGTGTGGCAGATAAAGGATGGATGATTTTTAGAACTAATAAGAGAGATTTGGTGTGTACATCCTGGCTGTAGGGCTCGTAAGGAGCTAAGAGAGTCTGAGAATAGAATGAATGATCCTTCTTTGTTTTCCATAAATTTCAGTAAGTTAAAAATTGCAAAGAGCGTTGCTGTGAAGGTAGATTTGTTTTTTCTGTGTCGTGCCTTGTAAGTGAAAGAAACAGACCACACACCATAGATGCCGTTTATTTCGTGGTTTTTGATCCGTCACGGAAGGTGCGGATAGGATACTGGGCCAGGAGGTGAGATAAGGACTTGCAGTTGCAGTTAAGCTCAGTTATAATAACCGAATCGACGTATCCATGTTAATGGCCAAATTTTACAGCTTCGAGTGCCTCTTATACCAACCAAAATAAGCACCAGCTCCAGCAAAAATTCGGCGTAGCCGCTCGAGCTATCAAATTTTTCACAATTTTTTCAACGAAAATATCTCAATCGACTTTTCATTCCTGTTAATCTATTTTTGTTCATTAAGCAAATCTTTCGGAAAGTTCACAAAAAATTCGCTATGCTATGCTTGACTCTTTTGCACTCGCATTGTGCGACGTATTAGATCAGACGTCCGCTTGAAAACTGTTATAATTTTAGGTGAAATTAAAAGGTTCTGAGATAATTAACACTTTACATCACAAATGATCAACTTAGAATTTGAACTTTAATTATTCTGATATTTCTTTCTCTTTCTCTCAAAGGAGGCTTTCTTGAATTCCGATTGAATATAGTCTAAAATAAAATTAAACGATCGCGTCATTATTTTCATATATTCTTACTTAATTATACTTGCGTAAACTTCTTATAAGATGTCTCCTTGTTGTGAATAAAACGCAAAAACTGATGGCTGATTTTCAGTAATAACAAAATTCTTAATCACTCGATGGTGAAACTCATAAGCATGCATTTGAGCGCGTCCGAGCAAGTAGCCCTATTTATTTAAAGTGACGGAGAATGGTACCACTTAAGGCTCGTCTGTTTTTCCACATTTACAGACTACATCGCGCCATCCGCACTCACACAGTTTTATATAAACCATACCCAACAGATTATTGCAAGCACGCTGAACAGGAGTAAGTACCATCGTGTATGGCGTAAAAAAAAACATACTCACCAGGCTGTTACATGTACCCTGAAAGAAGATAAATAAATATTCAACATTATTTAGCTATTTACGTTCAATAACTTTCGCAACCATGAAATTGTATGTTGTGTATGTATAATTTGTATGTGTGTTTAATGCGTGTGACATTCATCACAAAATACTGTAGAATCTTACACTTTTATATCCGTGATTCAAATTAACAATTAATCCTAAGCATATTTAAAGTTCTTATGTATAGCAGTACAAATTTCAGGTTCAATTTTTTTCTGTGATTATTTGAACTCAACTAATATCTACTCATAATTGGCCAAGTCTTTAATCAATGTTCGTCATGTCAATTGAGGTGCATATTTCAGTCATTCTACGTACAAGATCGAATAACTCTGCAAGATTTTAAACAATTCCCTGCAAAATTTAGACAATTATTCAACAATTAGAAATTTTGTTAATTAGAATTTTGTCGGAGTGTAGATTACAAGCAGACAATCAAAAATCGGATCATGACCTTTCGCGAACTAATGGCAATTTGCATCATGGTTAACTGAAAATTACGAAAACTGCACAAACTATATCATTAAACTTACTTTGAATGTCCCATATTCAACAAAAATGTTTGCTACAAGTAATAATGTCACTAGATTGCTTTAATCGCAGATTCACTAGAAATTTAAAAGCAAAGAAAACACCACAAAAATTCAGCATTTCTCTATTGAAAACGTTTCGGAGACGATGGAGCTGGTCTCCGAAACGTTTTCAATAGAGATATGCTGAATTTTTGTTGTGTTTTCTTTGCGTTTAAATTTCTAGTGCGTGCTAATACCAACTTCTGAAGTGAAAGCTGTGATGTTAACATCCCGCCTCTGCAAATAACTGTACAAACTATACCATTAAACCAAACTATAACTGTACAAACTATACTATTAAACTTACTATGAATGTCCCATCTCCTACAATAATGCTTGCTAATACCAACTTCTGAAGTCTAAGCTGTGATGTTAACAGCCCGCCTCTACTGCAGGGCGTTCACGCGCATCCTGTGCTCCTGCTGCCCGCGCAGCTGCCGTAAGCGCTACCAGCCCGGCTGGCGAGGAGGCATCGCTCAGGTAAGCAGTCAGTAATTAGGTATATAGTATTATAGTATATAGTATATAGTACATAGTATATAGCATATAGTATACAGTATATAGTATACAGTATATACTGTATAGTATATAGTATATAGTATATAGTATATTAATGCTCATGCAAATGCTGTAGTATGCAAATCAATGTTCACAGTTAGACAAATTTATTCAGATTGAGGCTCAATGTTCATAATGAGATGAGATTGTGATGATCGTTACAGGTACAAGATCATTACTGGTTTCGTTACAGGTCATAAAGCATTGTTAACGATTGTCACAAATAGGCATTAAAAATTTAAACAGAAAACGTGAAAAGCAATCAATTGGCCATTTTGACGGAAATTAATAACCCCGATTGAGAAAATTGGAGACCAACCGAGATGAAAAGTCGAAACTTCATGTTTCGAGAGTTAATATTTAAACATTTTATAAATGATATTAGATGTGCAAAGAAATTGAAATCCGTTTACCTAAGAATGTACAAGGAAGCGAAGATAAACGAAGATTGGAAGATTAAATTTCGAAGTCTCTGTCTGTCATCGCGACATCGCTTTGATCGATTGAGGTTGCGTGCAGCTGACTGAGGTGGATGCGCCGGTAGATTTTCAGTGCGGTAACCATGCCAAGAAGTTAAGCTACTTCAGCATAGAAATGGTCTTCCATCTTAGTGAACCTAATACAAGAAACGTATGCAGAGACAACAAGGATTGCTTCCTTAATTAAAAAGTAAATTATTTAAATAAAATTTAAATCACTTCCAAGCAGGTCATTCTACATGAGTTAATTATTAAAAAAATTACTGTATTTTGAACAATATCTTCCAATAAAAATAAGGTATTGGGAAAATTGAGGCTTCTAGACCAACGTTTTGAAGCTGTTTCATCACTTTCTTGTAATATTAGTTCCAGACGGCAGCCTGAGGTAAACGATTCATCGTGCGACAAATTAGACAAACTACGCACAGAATTTTGCCGAATCTGTCGTTCGACAAACTTAAAGTAGGAATCAATTGACTTCAGACTTAAATATAATATGTATCTGATTGGTTCTGACTGCGGACTTTAACAAAACGACGAATTATTGTCTCAATTGGTAAATAAAGCAGACATGTTGACCTCATGATCAGAAGATGTTTGAATTACCTTGAGTTGATCATTAATTGGTCGAGCATTGCTTGCGTTACATACCTTGTGCCCAAAGATCGGATCCGACCTCCTGTACAGGTAAAATCCATCCACAAGGATTTTACGTCTTATTTACCTCTATTTCTTCCCGTCTTTGTGTAAATATTTGCTATTGCACCCCACTTACATTAGCTAGACCTTGCACGCGTCCCACCGCATGCCCCTCCCTTCTGACGGAGGGGGGCCGGGGTCCAGTATCTCAGGGCTTGCCCCAGGGAGCTCGGGGCTCTAACCATCCCCCCCACGACCAAACCTACCCGCCATGACAAAGAATCATCTATATTTGTACTCATCTTATCCCAACTATGCCTCTCAGACATCCAATAAACCCACTCGATCAAAACCACCCACCTACAGAATTTTTCATCAAAACCACACACCAATTAACTCAAGAAAATTGACCCTAGACTGACCATTGACCGCTCACTAATCTTCCAGACGACATTTAAAGACCTAAACGCTCCACTTACTCGGCTACCTAACGCCATCATAGATTTTTATGCCGTTACTGACAACATCACAGCAATAGGCCGAATGACATCCGAAGAAGCAACTAACGCATTTAAGAAAATGAACTTAGCACCAATAATCCCGCCTGAACTAAGGTCAAAACTTACAATATTTGTAAGACAGCTTGATAGAGATATAGGCAAACTAAGTCCGATCGAGATCAAGGACGCAATGACGTGACTACAGAACTGGACACACATACACGAAAAGTTAAAATCAAGGATTACGCCCACGTCATCAAAAAAATAACAACTGATACAAGAATCTCCCAACGAACCTAAGCGAATGTTTTGTCATGTTCAACACCCGTATCACCCCCAGCTAGTGTGAGCAAGAGAAATGTGCCCACATTCTGATATGCTACAAAGGTTACAAATTCGAGGGTCATCTACCTACCTTTGCACGGCCACCATACCATCCTGCTCAGAGTGCGCAGCCCACGACCATACGCAATGCCCCAACATCCACAAGAAATGTTTGAATTGCGACCGACAGGAAAAAATAATTCTAGACAAACAGAAAAACATGCAGTGGCAAGAATTACAAAGCCAAAGCACGTACAGTGAAATCGCCAAACATGCAGTCAAGCAAACGAAAATCCCCAGCAAAACGTCACCCTCACTAGCTCCATACAAATCAAACTCACGACAATCATCCTGGAAGCTCACTTAGCCAGCCTCGCCAGACAGGAGGGGTTCGGCTCAATACTCTCCAAATCTTTTAAAGTAAATTACGCTTCGACGCTACTTTCCCCGACCGAGCTTTCGGCAAAATCTTTTAATTTTTTACAACCACGTCTAGAATCAACAGATAGAAGACAACGCAGATTTCATAATCAGGAATGACTTCATAGAAGACTATGACCTTAGAAGATCCTCACCATGCAAACCTGACTCAACCTAAGGCCAACGGCGAAGACGACTCTAGAGAAGCTGCCTACCTAAACATACAATCAAAAACGTCAAGACCTTATTATATCAGCACTAGAACTCAGACAAGACCCAAAAAAAATTTGGAATTGCGGCAAAAGAATGTCAGGCATTCGTTTCACGTAATCAAATCTGCGCGCAGATTTGATTACTCACGTTGATATCTCGTATTGAACGAAGTTTTACTTTTAGTGAGAGAATAGAAATTGGCGTTGCAAAACCATGCGGAAACGTTTGGATGACAGCTAGAAATTTTATTTTGAGACTGGTCTAGATAAATTAGATTTTAAATGATTTTCCTCCAATTATTCTCGTACTTCCATGCACAATTGATTTATTTGAATTCGAAAATAAAAATTTCCATTTATGGTCGATCTTAGAAATTAAGTTTCCACTTCCTTGTTCCAGGACTGATTGAATCGTTGCAAAACTACATGATGTTCCTATCAGAATTACGAATCATTTTAAAGTATGTGAAAAAACATATCGGGAATTACTTTTCTCAAATAATTTTATAATTCTTTGGCTTCAATTTCCGTAAAAAAAACGTTGCATGAATGGAATATTGATTACTCCTCTATTGTTTCATTCATTTTACCACAATTATAAACTATCAATAATAAAAAATGTCCAGATAATGGAATAGCTTTTCAAATTTTCATAACAATATCAAATTATCCAGAATCGACCGTGTCAAACTGCTAACATTTGCTTGCCCTTCAGTTGGAGCAACACAACTATGAAGGGAAGTTAAGCTTGAACTGTTTGAAGCTCATTGAGCTATGAGCTTAAAGTGAATGTGTTTCCATGGTGATCTTCATAGTATACAGCGGATGAGCCTTAATTAAACATGGTATTAATAGAAGCAAGATATCATACAATGACAAGGAAATAGATTGAAGGATTCCCGTCGTTTATTCAACCTGAATGTAATAGAATTAAAAAAAACGGGATTTTTTCGTGGTTCCTCGAAAAATGTTGAATTTTTAGCAACTTTTTTCTATCATAGCCCGTTCATTGGTCGGGTTATTACCTCATTGCATTCAAGCCGTTAAGCAAAAATTAAATTTCTTGATTTGCCTATATCCATAGCCGTGGCCTCAATATAATTACAACTTGGAAATGGAGGGAGTTAATCCATGACGTTAACAATATGATATTCAATTTATCTTTCATAGTATTTACGGTACAAGAAGTTGTAGCTTTCAGATTCAGCTGCAGCAACAATTTCGCGCTGTTGTGGGGAAAGTGGTAACATTTCTTCACTATATTTCAATCAATTCGCGGAGCGATTAATATTTTTTTCTAAACTTCGGCTTTATGGAACATGCAACAAAGAGCATCGCCATGCTAGATTTAAAGGAAAACATCTGCTATTACTACACAGAATACTATTGGTATTCTAAACGATCATGAAGTTTTATACAGATTTGTTACAACTAACAACCACATTCTGTCAACAATACAGAAATTTCCCTGGAAATCTGAATCACCGGACACCTCTTATCACAAATATTGCCCAGATAGTCATGCTATGAGAGTAAATTTCAATGTATAGTCAGAATAGATTGAAAAGATGAAGGCGGGTGCAGAGACTATCATTTATGGCAAACAACACAGAATTTTAGTTCACCGCACTCATTGATCTGACCGTTCCCGCACCAACATCAATGGTACTTGTAACAACATTTTATTTTAACTTAAAATACTTGTGGGGCTCGTTCTCAATATTTAACACTTGAGTATTATGCATTTCACTTTAGCAAACTCGTTCTTCACGATCTCAATTGATCACATGAACAATAGATGGTAGCGTTGGTTTTAAAATTATATATGTTTTTTGCGGTTACCACTTGCTACTTGCTTTTAAGGCAGCCAGCTAATGATGCTTAAACGAGGCCAATATCCCGCTAATTATTAACGGAAAGGAGTGGCCAGATGAAGTGGCTGCCTAAAGTGGCAGAATACTCGCTCACATTATGCATCCTTGATCATTACCTTCGAGTTGGAAACGCAACGGTCAGAATTTTTTCATTGTTTTACTCTTACAAGCACTCGAAGATAACTTTTCGTTTTCCCTTATTATCTAACTCATACTGATATTATTTTCGAGATAATGAGTCAATGGTATTGATGCTCCCACATGGCATGTCGCGTGTCTGGTGGATAACATTGAGCAGCGTAGCTCATTAAAGAGCTCACTCCTATAAGAGCCATGTGGTTAAACTCATTGTGAGATACACAATTTTATTCTTACCGGGATTATATAATTAATAGTCCAGTAAAGACTTGAAGTGCTGTCAAGAGTATACTCCTAATTTTCCTATTATGCTCACAACCCATTGCTTATGAAATGAGCTTCTATAGCTCTGACCTTCCATATTATGGAAGCTGTAATCTGAACGATGAAAGCGATTATATTTTCATGATGGAGAATATTCATAGGAAATAATAAATGAATACAGCTTAGAAGATGAAATGATAACATTTGAGCTAAACTACATAAAATAAATAATCTTATACGAAGCCAATTAGCCATGCATTAATTCCAAAGACTACGATATTTTAGTGGATTTTAACATTTGAAATTACAGTCGAGCTGAAGAAATATCACAAATATGGGTAGAGATACTCTTATGTGGAAATCTTGATCACTTAATAAGTTGTCCAATCCTTATTGTGTTTTTTTCACTCTACAATTACTCCTGAATTAAAATGCTTGTAAAAAATTACCACCAGATTTAGATCAAGAAATGCCATAGAGGTTCTGGCATGAACACTGTTTCGGCCAGATCTTACATAGACTTGTTAGACTAGCATTTCAGATATCCATGTATACTTGGACAGAGAAGCGTTTGCTATATCGAAGCACCAGAGACACGTCTGCTCAGGCAGTTGGTGGAGGCGCACGACGAACTTCTGAGCGCAACTAAGTCACAGATTGCAAGACTGTAAACAGGCGAGCTCGTCAAGCTCAATATAGAGAGGAAGTGTTTACAGTGTCAGTGAAGCCGTGGTGCGACCGTAGCCAAACACCCGTACACAAACACACGTACACAAGCTAGTGCACACAAACACCTGGACACCACTTATCTTATGATCCTGTAACGAGCAGGCATTGAACACTGAGGGGGCCTGTGAGGCCGACCACTCATCCTTATACCACGTAACGATCCTGTAATACGCGCCACTAACACGTTTACAGGCTAGTCGGTCTGCAACGAACAACACTCAGCCTGCTGCAGACTCTAAACCCCCCCATACACAACATATGCAATCCTGCCGCGCACGGCACACAACCGTATACACAGCCTAGCGTGATCGAGACGAGCAAGCCGACCGCTCATGCATCACGTAGCCAAGCTACGGCGCGCGCCACCCGCCCATGCATCACGTAGCCAAGCTACGGCGCGCGCCACCCGCCCATGCATCACGTAGCCAAGCTACGGCGCGCGCCACCCGCCAATGCATCACGTAGCCAAGCTACGACGCGCGCCACCCGCCCATGCATTACGTAGCCAAGCTACGGCGCGCGCCACCCGCCCATGCATCAGTTAGCCAAGCTTCGACGCGCGTCAATCGCCCATGCATCACGTAGCCAAGCTCCGACGCGTACCAATTGGCAATTGCCCATGCCTCATCGGTCCACAACCGAACGAGCCTCTGCGCCTATGCTTCCTGAACAGTACTAGATTCCAGCACCGACCACTAGGCTCCCTGTAGCGAATGTTTGCGTTATTGTATTGAACTGCAATAACGTGTGAACTGACTGCGCCTAACTGCAATATGTGTGAACTGACTGCGCCTATCTGCAGTAATGTGCAAACTGACTGCGTTGTTTTTCATTTTACTTCTATCTTCCTTCCCGCTGCAGGACTTTCTTTCGTTCTTTCCGTAATTCCTACTTTGATCCCTGACTGTCCGTACTATCACTGACTCATCAAAACATACATGCATCTTGAATGTTTTTCATTCACCTGCAGCACCAACATGTGCATCGTGAATCACGGTTCGTCTTATATGTTCTTTGGAAATTATTTGTTTTGTGATGATAATATGACAAATCCTTGTGTACATAACCTCTTAGACCATATATTGTGAGCACGTGGTACATGCACTGGGTTATCTAGACCTAGTGTCTGTTTGTCTCCTGGAAGTTTGTTAGTTCAATGAATTCTTCCTTTGTTACTTACGGATCTTTTATAATTTTTTTTTGTGTAAATGTGCATCGACCTTCCAAAATCCTATGAGCAAACTCCTTAGAAAATTTTATCATTTACGGTTAGGTTTCGGCAGATTTTTTCAAAATATTTCCACTGTTTTCTTTTTTCGGTGAAAACATCTCATTGCATGGCCAATATATTTCTTGCCTTCATTGCAAAGGAAAGAATGAAGGTTACCTTCTTTTTTAATTCTTTTGAATGATATGAAATTTATACTAGAATTATTTATGTAATTCTAAATGGAAGTAAAGAATTGTCTGAGGTGAAGTCCTTTTTTTTGTGTTCAAATAAATCCGTTTATAAAATAAATAAATAAAATCGTGCGATTTGCAATTTATTGAATATTTGTAACATATTTCAGTCTTTCTAAGGCAAAGCATGACACTGAAATCCTTCCTTCCCAAAACTTAATATTAATTGCAGCGAAAAAGAATGAAATTTTAGTAGCCGTAGCTGTAGCAAATGATTTTATTACTATTTCTTTTATTTCAGCTTGAGCTAGGGAGTTGATTTGATTATTTTCCTATTAGAATAAATATTATTTTATTGTTGGATGGTGTCATGATAATTCACGTATTTAATTTTTTCCTAACCTTTTCTTGTTCATTTTCTTCTGTTTCAGTTCGAACCTCAGGATGACTTCTGATCGCCTGCCCCGACCCCCGCTTGCCCCCACGCTGTCCTCCTCAACCCTTGGTACCTGTTACTGTATGCCTCGATAAATTACCTCCAGCCTAAATAAAACCTCATTTTCCTATATCAACCATTTTCTCATAATTATTAAGTCCACCTCAGTTCTCCTTCCTAATAAATCACAAAAATTCTCACCAGAACTATTGTTGCAATCGACTCGGGAAGTTACTTCCCGAGTAACAATAATTATTTCCTCTCAACAGTTCCATTAAAAAAACAATGAAGTAATCCTCGACGCTGTGATCCCTCCACGCATCCTCATTAACCTCATGCTCATCAAATCCGCTTTGTTGCAGTAGCAGAAGTCTGTGGCCTCTCATCGTGGATTAAATCCTTAATTAACCACTCGTGTGTATTAACTTCGTTGATAAGCCACGCGAGATAAAAAACACTCGGATCACCTGATCTTCTTGGTAAGCTTTCAAAGAGATATAAAATACTCGTTCTTCTTGCATTTCACTAGCATTTTTTCGCGACTGCACTAACCCTCCCCACAACTTAACTCCACCACTCTCCTCCTCCAAACTCTCCTCCCAACCATAACGACTTTCCTCCGCAGCTTTTCCTAATAACTTTCATCAACAAATAATAACTTCTTACCAAGGACTACTACACACAGGACATGCATAGCCTATGTCCAGCCTCTGCTAGCAGAGGCGATCGCCTACACTATGAAAATGCTGTTGTTTTAGTGGCATCAACATATGATATGCCCATAATTGTTTCATACAATAGTATTACAATGTGTGTAGTAGTCCTTGGTCAGAACCATAGACTTTTTGCCAGTTTTGAAGTTCAAAATTTTGTACTAATTTAGTACAAAATTTTGAACTTCAAAACTGGCAAAAAGTCTATGGTTCTGACCAAGGACTACTACACACATTGTAATACTATTGTATGAAACAATTATGGGCATATCATTTGTTGATGCCACTAAAACAACAGCATTTTCATAGTGTAGGCGATCGCCTCTGCTAGCAGAGGCTGGACATAGGCTATGCATGTCCTGTGTGTAGTAGTCCTTGCTTCTTACAATATCCCTTTTCCTCCGCTTTCTTCCACAAGATGCCACCACATCCATCACTCACTCCTCCCCAGCAAATCTTACCCACATCTCCTCCTCACAACTCTTTACTCAACTATTTTACACAATCTTTCCCACAACTTCAACAAAACTCCTGAAATCTTTTCCTTTCGACGCTCCTCATCAACCCTCATTCACACACCCACAACCCTCTTCCACAACTCGTTCGTCAATCTTTCCAAAACTCGAAAAGCGAACCTTGGATGAACGCATAAGCCAAAAGGATGCATTTTAGTCTCCGACGATTCTGTGATATTACAAGGAGAAGCCAAGAATCAAGCTGTCAGCGCCCAGTCTCGTCGTTTGATCTTCTCCTGTCAATAAAAATGAACCAACTTGCCGTCGTTAGATATATTTACTAGCGACTTGTTTGATGTCTGACTGAGCACTCAACGTTGTGGATCGCTTGTGAATTGTGCTTCCTTTCAGTGCAGGTGCAGTTAAATTAATTCTATCATTTAAATGGATTAATCAATACAATCTATATTGCAAAAATTGGTACTAAACCGTTTCTTGTATTGCTTTTGGATTGCCTCAAAAAGAAACGCCCGATAAATATCGAAACACCAATTTAATCTTGCACCGCCATTTTCAATCGCTTCTACTAATGCACTTCCATTATGCCAATAAGAAAAGGTTTTATGCTATCCGATTTCTTGGAGAAATGTCACCCGATAATTTCGACGATATCTTTCGATAATTAACCGATTGTTCGCATCAAAATATTTCCAAGTTTCGATTAAATCTTCTAGGCCCTAAACTTCTGGTCATTGTTCAAAAAAAGTTATTTTCATAGTTCAAAAAAGAAAAATCTTGTCATTGTTCAGTATTTTCTAAACATATTTTTCCTTTTCGACAAACTCTTCTCTTTCTATGACAATTTCCAACTTTACTTTTTGGTGAGCCACCCCCTTCTTCTTCATGTTGCACACAATTTGTTCTACCAATATTAGTGGTCTTCTTAGCACCTCTCAAGCCTTCTAACATAAATGTATTCACTCCAGCCTCGTATGAGCTCAATGTCCAGAACCCAATTTTATTTTCCGTTTTGTATAACCTTTTCTAGTACACATCATCTCATTCGCACCAGCTGAAAATTGCCATTTCTTCTATAAAATGCGGCAAAATCCATCTATCTCTGACGCCTCTCTGCTTTCCATAGCAGCGAATATTAGAGTAGAGCGCCGCTAGGATGCGAGATAATAGTTCCGACCACGCCGGAGTGCCGACCTAGCCCGACGAGCCTCGAATTAGACTTTCTGCTGCAGCACTGCAAGCTGAGTCGCTGATAAACTAACATTGTTGTGATATTGTTATTTCGCGATTCGATATCAATAATTCAGTGACGTTAAATGTTCATCAACAAAAAAAAGAGATAAGTTTCCACGCACTGTGCGATGTTCTTCCAACATAAAAATAACAGAATAATCAAAAACCATTCCATGATCGGTCTGATAAATCATGTGACTTGCTATTCCGTTATCTCATATATCACTAGGAACTTGCTCCTATCATTTTATAAACTATATTTCTTGTACGACCGATGTTCTATTGGCTACAACTTCGATCATTTGGTAGCAGACGCTACATATGTGGAGTTAAATCATGCCTGCGGTGATGCCATCGGTGATCCTGATAGTGTCAGCTCACTCCCGACAAGCGAGCTGACAATGTTACAGAATATCGTCAGAAATTTTGGGCTGAATTTTTATATCATTCGTCAAAGCAATGGCAATATTATTCTTCACAAGTAAGCGTTTCTTTCACCGCTTTTTGTGTCCTGGTCTCATGAATGTACACGAAATGGAGGGACCAGTTTTCCCAATATCATTTTTCTGGTCAATGGTGCCGCTTTCTCGAGCCATTAGTTAACAAAGGGGCAGCCGACGCGAGCTTAGTTCCTGCCATGGCCATATGTCCTCAGCACTACGCCAGACTACGCAAGTAGCAACACCAACATAATCCTTAACTCAGATAATTTTACTTAGAATCTTTTATTTTTCCTAATGACAGAGAAAAAAAATTCTCCTTATAAAATTATTATGCATTTTTTTCTCCCAGATAGACTCAAATATTTTATGTTTCTGATTTTAATAATAATGACTACCAAATCGATTTTCTCCAAACCATTAGTACAGCTCAGGCCAATTTTTGTTCGCTGAGAAGCGTGTGAAATCAGAAATAGGGAAACAAACTCCTGACGTGGGCCATAGGCTCACAAATAACTCGCTCAATCATCACTGAATCACTCGGACGATGGCCACTCATTTTAATCAATAAATTCGTTCTCGCTTCTAACGCACTAGTAAATTACCGATCATTGCGATATAACCTAAGTCTTCATAAAACCCGATGATATGGTCGTGAAAATAAAGGTCTCTTTAAATATTTCTTTAATAATTCTTTAGTGAATGATGAGGCACATGTGAAATCGAGCGCTCAAATGCTAGAAGATTTTGCTGTAACTAAAATATTCTTCTATAAACAATTTTGATTTCAGTACTGAGATAAAGCTTAGTGGATAATAAAGATAAATCAACATGGTGCTTAAATTATTCGGTCTAACTTTAATGTTTCCAAGAGCAGCTTGAGTACAGACGAGTTTTTTATTAGTATTATGATGGATATAATTTGAAGTTCCAACAAGCAACTTCTACTTCTCTGTTATTAGTCTGATAATTAGAATTCTTGTTACTAGAAGCAATTACCGGTGTTCCAGCAACGATATTGCTCTTCAAAACTGTAGACAATATGCGGTTATTTGACACTTTTTCCAGGTGAACATTTCTGTGCACGAATACTATTGTATTTTTCTTCTAATTTGCTTTTTCGCATGAAATCGAACCGAGGCCCAAATCACAAGTCTCACCCAATTCAAGCCTTAATTTTATCTTATTTGTGATTACGCATGAAATCAAACGCTGGATCTTCCGAGAGCCAATTTAAGCATCGTTCATTGCCGCGGACATTATGAATTGCTCACTGAGGCCCTCATTCACTATGCAGCAATGCTGCGCCTCATATACACTCATACAGTTATGCCTTTGTGAGCAGCACGCAGCAGGAGTGTTCGTGCACTCTGATCATCTTGATGCCCTTATATCGAGTGTACCTATGCACTATCTTCTAAATGAACATTACTTACATTCTCCTGCTGACCCCACATCAACTCGATCAGCACTTCATCTGTTGAGATACCCTACTCCGCATGTACTAGCACATCATCCACTTATTTATCCTTTTCCACAATAACACATGACTTCATCCATTCAAATATCCATTTCCGAATAAAATCAGCACTTCATTTGATGAAATATCCTACTACGTAGTAAATCAGCACTTCATCCATTTGAACATCCAACTTTGCATTAACTTAGCACATCATTCATTTGAATATCAAACTTCGCATCAACTAAGCATTTCACCCGCTGACATATCCACGTCAACTCAGTCTCCACAATTTCCAAACCGGCAGACGCGAGAACCTCATTCCAAGTTTCGATATCGACAGACAAGACCGCTTCATTCCAAGTGTCGCAATCGGAAGACACGAACGCTTCATCCCAAGTGTCGCAATCGGAAGACACGAACGCTTCATTCCAAGTGTCGCAATCGGAAGACAGGAACGCTTCATTCCATGTGTCGCAATCGGAAGACACGAACGCTTCATTCCAAGTGTCGCAATCGGCAGACACGAACGCTTCATTCCAAGTGTCGCAATAGGCATACACGAATGCTTCATTCCAAGTGTCGCAATTGGCAGACATGAACGCTTCATTCCAAGTGACGCAATCGGCAGACACGAACGCTTCATTCCAAGAGTCGCAATCGGCAGACGCGAACGCTTCATTCCAAGTGTCGCAATCGGCAGACGCGAACGCTTCATTCCAAGTGTCGCAATCGGCAGACGCGAACGCTT